GGAACTGATGTGTATAGGCCGTTCTAGTGTTTCAGGACTGTGTTATCCTTAGATGCTCCTTTTCTACATAAATTAGATTGCACATGAGATGTTTGCTTATTATGGGTTTTGGAGAACCAAATTTTGGGCGTAATGCTTGGTTAGCTCTGCTGCGGTGACAACTGATAGGTGGGTGATGGGCTTGAAAGCTGCTTCTGAGAGAGGTGGTGGCTGAAGGGCTGCAGCAAGGCACGGTGAGGTGAGAGGGGTGGCTGTGACTTAAGTTGCCATGTGTGCAGTAGTAGTGAGCAGCAGAGGAAGCAAGGGTTAGTTTTGTGGGAGGGTTTGGTTCTGGTTTTTGGGTTGGTTTTTTTTTTCATTCTGTGGGTGTAGAAGACTGATGCATACATTACTTGAAGAGTTACATTTAGTTTCTTTGTTTTACAGTGGGTATTATGTTCTGTCCAGACTTGAGAACATGACTAGAGGCTAGTAAAAGATACCACGAGACATCTGGGGGGAGGGAAGAGGCATTGGACTATTCAGAAATGTTTTTTATGCCAATGATTTACAAAGATCTCTTTCATTTGTTGAACCTCTGTTGATTTAAAGCTGACTGGGTATATTGAGAGCATCTAACAATTTGTCTAGGGAATTACAGAGACAACAGGCTGTATCACCAAGGGCAAAAATGATGATTTAGCAATTCAGAGTCTTACAAAAAAGACCAATCTTCTGGCAGTCATTCTTAAATGAGGGTTAGATTTTTTTTTTTACTTATTTTTTTTTCAATATCACGTTCCTTGTCTTCCCAAGTTCTTGGCAGGAAAATGGTTGAAGGTTTTGCGTAGTTGGTTTACTTATGTGAAAGCACGTTAACTGCGCTACCTGGTGAGGCATACAGGGCTACCCTGAAAGGTTGTGAGCGGGTGAAATGCACCTGTATCTGTCCGAGGAGCAGAACTGGGAGAGCAACGGGCTTTCTCACGACGCAGAGAGGCGAGGGGACAGTTACCGCTCCTGGGAGCGGTACCAGCAGCCGGGGCGCCGTGGGACGGCGGTGCCCGCGCGGTGCCCAGCCCCGCTGAGGGCTGAGGGCGGTCCGTACGCAGGGTGGCCGGCGGAAGGGGGCCGGGGTCCTGAACACCTCTCGGGAGGGCGGACCGGCTGAGGGGGCCGGCGGGCCCCCCCCGCCGCCTGCGGGCGGGGGAGCGGGGTGTGGCGGGGCGGCGCCGCCCCGCCTTGTGACGCCGCGGGTGTGCTTCTGACGCGCCGCCGCACTCCAGAAGGATCCTGGCAACGCCATTTTGTAGCGGGCCGCGCGAGTAGGCGGGCGGCAGTTGCGGCGTGGAGCGCGGCGGCGGCTGCCGGAGAGAGCGGCGGCTCCCCGGAGCCGCGGAGGTGGGGGCGCTGCGCTGGGAGGGGCGCTGCGCGATGGTTGCGGCGCCGTGCCGCCGG